AGTGGGTTGCAAAGGAGCACAATGAAAGGTAAATAATGCTCTGCACCTACACCTGAAACACATTGTTTGCTTTACACCTTCAGCTCCCCAGGTGTGATACTGCACTGCATGAGAATGTCTTAAGTTTGCTTTTTAACCTACAGGCACCAAAAGGGCAATAGCCCTGGGACTGCATGGATATGCCAGAGAAATCACCTACCTTATTCAGGCTGGAAAACAGAGTGACCACAAGCTGAAAGGCTGTATGGGCTCAACCAGGGCGACTGCAGCAGTGCAGAGGATGGCTGAGCATCTGCACAAGCCTGTGAACAGCTCAGACAATAACGACGTTTGCCCTTGTTTGGAGCCAAACAACTTGTTGAAGAAATCACAGAATGGCCTGGGTTGCAAAGGAGCACAGTGCTCATCCTGCTCCAACCTGTTCCTGCTGTGTGCAGGTCGCCAACCAGCAGCCCAGGCTGCCCAGAGCCACATCCAGCCTGGCCTTGAATGCCTGCAGGTTTGGGGCATCCACAGCCTCCTTGGGCAACCTGTGCCAGTGCCTCACCACCCTCTGGCTCAAAAACTTCCTCCTCATATCCAACCCAAACCTCCCCTGTCTCACTTTAAAACCATTCCCCCTTGTCCTGTCACCATCCACCCTCACAAACAGCCATTCCCACTCCTGTTTATCCGCTCCCTTCAAGTAGTGGAAGGCCTTGGTGTGCAAGCATCTTTGGGTATAGCTTTTACATAAGGGCCCCAAAGGACATCTCCCTGACTGCAGACAAGGATTTCTAAAGGAACACGTGCGTTAACACCACATTAGTTAATCCTGTTGTTTCATTTCTTCACTAGGAAAAGCCTTCTCACTGCACTGCTCGAGTTTGCAGAGTGCTGCTTTATTTGCTCTTAATACAAATACTGCCCCTCAGAAGTCAGGCTGACTTGTGAACGATACAGGTGAACACGCAGAAAGGAATAAAACAAAGTCAAGTGTATATGTGTAAGCAGTCTAGGTGTAAAGTACAGATTCAGTGTCTCAAAAGCTAGAATGAACTGCATACTTTCAGATATTCAGAGAACAACTGCATAGGGCCCCTCATGCATCAACAAATGCTGGTCTTAAAAATGAGCTGCTTTTCTGGGAGCCAGCGAGATCCCATGCTTGAGAAATCTGAAATACAGATAAGTGTTCCCAAAAGGAAACAAAGATTTTGGAGAACACAACTGGGAAAATGTAAATCAAACAAAACTTTAGCTCGTCATCTTTCACCTCAAGAAAGTGAGACATCATCTAAATCTGATAGCAGGAAAGTAAGGCTTTGGTGTTGCTTAGCCTCTGTAACAGCATGTGCAGAAGCAGCAGATCTGTCCTGGCTTCATCTGTGTATAATACAGTAATACTCTGCAGTTGGGGCACACGAGGAGAAAGGTAAATACAGCAGAATACAGGTGCCAGGAGATATGAAGAGGGAAGCAGAGCTTGCAGACCTGCAAGCTTGATGCAATAAATCATGCAAGTTGCGATGTGAAAACATGTATTCATCATTTAATGCTTGAGAAATTAAAACAAGTCTCCACAGGCAGAGGCATCCAGCAGCAATGCAATTAAACCTCAGTCCAACCCTGCAGGTATACAAAAGGCTGCAGGCAGAACTATGCAGTTCATCAGAGCCTGAAGCAAAGAAAACTATAGAAAACTGCCAAATTTGCTCTGATAGAAGCCTGAAATAATGGGCTAATTGGTTTTACAACCAAAGTTGTAAGAAAACAAAAATTAAACATCATCCCCACATCTGCAGGAGTAACAAAACTATTCTGTATATATATATATATATCTCTGATATATATACATATATATATTCTGATATGTATATCTGATCCTTCTCAGAGAGTGAGGCTAAGCCTGAATTAAATAACTACAGATTTTGGTTACCCTGTTTATCTCTGGGATTCAATTCCAGGCTGAAGAGAAACAGAGATGTCTCTAGAGAACAGTAAGAGCTATGAGTAGGTCCTCTTCACAGATAAACTAAGTGCAACGTAAGTCACAGCATGACTGTGATTTGACAGCAGTTCAGCAAAAGCTGTCTGCAGTGATAACGAAGGAAACTGAAAACCAGCAATTGAACAACAACAACAAAAAACAAACCAGTCAGTGTAAATGAATGTGTGAATAAGAAAAACTCATCACCACCTCACATGCTCCTGCTCTCATCCCACAGATGAAGGATAGCCTGGAAATACTTTGCCGACTGCTGTCTGCAGCACGGAGCGTCAGATTACTCACCTGCTGTATCCTGAAAACGAAAAATCCCTTCCAACCTTCATTTTAACAGCTGGTGGCCTTTCTGCTTGCTTAAATATATGTAAGCAGATATTATTCACAAGACAGTGGGCATCTGTGCTTCGCTACGCATGTGCTCAACTGCAGTGCCTGGCTGTGGAAGTCTCGCCAGTTTTCCCCTTGAGCCAGGCTCCCTGTAAAGGCTCATTTCCATTTATATTATTAGGAAGCACCAAGGAGCCTTGTTTAGAGTCATCAGCCTTAAGAAAAAGTTAAAAAAGAACAACTATGCATGCAAGTCGTGGAGGTGAGAAGGAAATGAGGCATAGACATTCATGTGGGGGCAAGGAGGGAATGCGATATTCCCAGAGAACTGTGCTTCATATTCCTACGTGTTTTGAAATATTATCCGGCCCAAAAATGTGTTTTGTCTTGCTAATGACTGCGTATCACCTAACAGGAAAAAAAAAAACCTGGCAGCACGAAGGCAAAACCTCCAACAAATACCTAAAGCTGACACTATCAGCTCTTCAAAGCTAATGGACACTAGGAGGGAAGAGCAGAGATGTACACCTTGTGACCCAGAGCCCTCACCTCTCTGCTTATTCGAGGGCCACCTGCACCCATCCCAGCCCGCACGTGAGGTTCAGGCACTACAGAAGCCATAGTTTGGGTATTTTAGCCCTTTGTATTCTTATTTAGGTGACCACGTGTCATCTTTGGGTTTTGACATCACAGCGATGGATGAAATAACAAACTGACAGCAATATTTGCCTGATGATTGAAGCTTTTCTTCCCGCACCTCGGGATAAGAAAAGAAGGGAGAATCTTCTCAGCTGTGGTTACAACTACTGAGAATGTGGAACTGCACGAGAACCACAGCTTCCTTTTCTCAGGCTCTGTTTGCTGGCTGAGCTGGATTTCCATCAGGCAACACTTGCACTGCTCTGCTCAAAGATGATCCCTCTCCTCCTCCCGTATTTGCCAAGATTATCCTCCCAACGATTTGCCAAACAGCTTTGCTCACTTTGATCAGCATTTCTATACGCAAGGGCTGAAGGAAAGATAAAAGCAAAGTGCAGCATAGAAATAAGGGCTGGAAAGTGCTCTGGTACAGTGACGTCCCATAGGACTTTAGGGGCTGTTACTAAAAGCAGAACTCTTGTTCCAGGGGTCTGATACTGAGCCACGTTACTCCGAGGCACATAACTCCATCCAAAGCCTGCTCCTATCATTTTCAACTGGAGCAGCAATGAAAAGCTCTTTTTTCTTCCCCCCCCCCTTGCCTTTTAGTACTGTGTGATCACAAGCTGCCTTCATAGCTGTTCTCCTTCCCACGTTCTGCGTATTGGAGGAACAAAGATAGACTCAGTCTACCAGAAGGCAGCAATCATCAGCTCTGAGAAAGCAAAACTCTTCTGAAGTTTCAGTAGTGAGAAGATGGCATACACCAGCAGGGTCTGCTCAGTGCTTCAGGGCATTCAGATACAATACGAACAGCCCTAGAAAGCTTTAACTGCACTGTTAAAGATCAGCCAGTGTCACAGTGGTGCCGTTTCAAATCAGGTTTTTGGGTTTTGAGATTCTCCCAGAAGACACAAACCAGCTCCAAGTTATTAAATGTCAGCCCATTAGTGCTTAATAGTTTATTATCTCAGTAGGAGCAACTCTTCCACCCTAATTTAGCGTTAACTGTGACAAAAGAGATTATTTCTCCAATCAGCTGAAGCAGTGTTGAGTCCATCTCCAGTCACCAGGGCAGCACCAAGTGATCTGGCAGCAAACCCTGGTGGGGTTACCTCACACTGGATGATATTTTCGACACCTTGCAGCACCTGGAATATCTGCAAAGAGCAAGGCAATGACACAAGGGAACATCCACCAACTCCACACCATTGGGGCAGAGGGGAATCATTAACTGAGGGCTCCTGAAACTGCAGTGCTACGTTTAGGTGGGATTCAGGCATTCAAAGAGTGAAGATGGGAAAGCAGGACACAATTGTTTTAAGGTAAGATGCTGCACAAGCATACGTAATTCAAAAGATCACACATAAATGAGCACAAAGCACGTAAAGCCTGCAAGAATGTGCTTGCAAATGGTCTTGTGAAGGATATCTCAGTGGTTTGAAGGAGAGTTGCTCAAGCGTTATGCTGAAACAGCTTCTGCAAGGCATGCCAGCCTTGTAACAGAGCAGACTGGTTTCTGGGACTTTCTGCATAGAGAATGGAGAGGATTCTGGATCCTCCTCAGCAAACCAGAGCAGAAGCAATTAGCATTTCTCTGGAAGGCTGCCCTGCCTTCAGTCACCAAATAACGGAGCTTCCCATTCAGCAACAACGCTCAACACACAGCAGCTATTTCCACAGCAGCGATTGTGCTCATCTTAGTGGTCCAGCCTTAATGATTCTGTGATTATAATTCACAGACTCCCATGCAGCTCACTTGTATTATATTCAAAGCAAACGGGAAAGCAGACGCTGGCCAGGCTTTTAAGACCTGTTCTGCTTAAGGTCTTCCATGCTCCTGGACTGCCACAGTATAGAAGGGCTGGCAGCAGTTGCACCTTACATACAGCCTTAAAAGAATGATTATTTCACGCCCTCTTTGGTCAAAACATCACATTTAAAATAATACTTTCCCTCCCACAATCCTCCAAAAGTTAATTTTCTTTCTTTTTTTTTGTAGCATCCATCTCCTTTGAATCCCTAAAGAAAAAATAAAACGACTTACCATCTGACCATGAGCCCGAGTTCCATGAAATTTTTCAGGTTAGGAAGAGTTTGCCTTAGATCTGGAGTACTCAGCCCATGTTGATATCTAAGCTACAAAAAACAGGCAAAGATAAAATCAGTAAAGCTTTCCAAACCCCACATCCCAATGGATATCATCCCGTGCTCTGTTAATCCAGCCAGTTTCCAAAGAAGCTGTAGGATAATCAAGCACTTCCAGGCCATCTATTACCTTGAAGGAAATATTCCATTTAACGCTCATAACCTCACATTAGCAAAACCCACCCAAGAACAGGGACAAACCCATCAGTCAGTACAACTGTTAAACCTCATTACACCCTTTCCGTTTCCTATCTGAAACAGGAGAGCAGCCTCACAGCTCAGTGCAAAGAGCCATCAGGTGGGCAGCCCAAATTTCAACACAACGTCCCACACATTCACCAGCTCCCAACATTTAATTCTGTGCAAGTGCCATCCATCATCCTGAGCATATCAACGTATGCTGGAACCAGTAGTGGAATTATTACACTAATATCAACTACTACAAACACATGCTGTCCAACAGCTGAACTGACTCTGTGTTCTTTTAATGGTTTATATCAACATTGAAGTGTTTTCATAATTGAAGTCAGCGTTCAGATACAGCACCACGTAGCTCAGAAACAGGTTCTAACATCAGCTTGCTTTAGCCCGAGCATTAATAGGCACAAACAGAAATCACGTTGGCTCCACACAAACTGCAAGTTGTTCTTACCCTCAGATTATCATACGAAGCACATACAGTATGTTCAAGGAACGTATAGACACATGAGGGATGTGATTTTGGGAGAACTATTGGTGACTGGGGGATGGTTGGACTGGATGATCTTGTAGGTCTTCTCCAACCTTGGTGATTCTAAACTTAACAGCCAATGCTGATCATTTCAAACTGCTCGTTTCTATGATATTCTATGATTTAAGAAGGCCCCTGTCCTTGAAACGAGCAAGTGGAAGGGGAAAAGAGTCTTACAGATTCGAATCCCAAAACTTGCTCTGCGCATCCTCCCTGAGCTGGTTCTAATATGTGAAATAGCCCAAAATTCCAGTACCATTGGGAAAGGGTGTCGGGAGGAAGCAGCACCAACGTGACATGGAGCTGTCACAGAATGTCTTGGATTGGAAGGGATCTCAAGGATCATGAAGCTTCAGCCCCCCTACTGCCAATGCAGGGCCCAGGGCCACCAACCTCCCCATTTCAGAGCAGCCCAGGCTGCCCAGGGCCCCATCCGACCTGGCCTTGAACACCTCCAGGGATGGACGGGGCATCACAGCCTCTCTGGGCAGCTGTTCCAGCACCTCACCACTCTCATAGCGCAGAACTTCCCCCTGACATCCAACCTCAATCTTCCCTCCTTCAACTTCAAACCATTTCCCTTGTCCTGCTGTTATCTCCCCTTTCCAAGAGTTGACTCCCCTCCAGTTCGCAGGCTCCCTTCAGGTACTCAAAGCTGTCAGTGGGCATTATGTTCAAACCCTCCAGCACTTCCACCTCAGACACTCACAGACAGTGGCTGTCCCAGTTCAATACTCACAAAGCCAAGCGATGAAACACGGAACAATCCTACAAAGTTAATTTCACTGTATTTTTTGAGCTCCACACCTGTTTCTGCAATGCCTGAAAGCAGACCGCAGGAAGGCAACATCCAATGGCAAGGATTTCTGCCCCAAACCAAGAGCTCACGGAATCCTGCTCAAACAAAGCACCAAACAGGTTTTCCACAGGAAAACAAAACTCTCAAAACCAGGAACGATTCCTGTGCTCTTCTGTGTTGTAGAAAGAAAAACTGCTTTGGAAGAAACCCACCCTGAGCTCTGCGCTGTACAACAGGAGAGCATTTATTACGTGGTTTATTATTTCCATATGGACATGGCCGAGTCATATGGTGGGCTTGGGTTCATATTTTTCTGCTACACTGACAGAACCTGGATGAAGACAACCATACAATATAAATTGCTAAATGATCACCGCATTCTCCTGATGGGATTACAGTGGGTTTGGTTAACCGAAGAACCAGCCCGAGGCAAGAGGAAAAAATAAATTAATTAGAAGCATTACATTTGTTGCTCCTACCACAATTGGATTTTAATAGAACACTCGTTTTTACAGTCATCCCTAAATTCTAAGGTTTCATAGCATGAAAAGAACTGGATTAAAGGATCTTTCTAATCCCAGCAGCCAAGATCAGAGGAATGCATTGGAGCTGTGCTTGTTTCAAAGCACGGACAAAAAAAAAATGTTGCTCTGGCTAAAAGCTTTGTGAGACTGCAAACAGGAGAGATGCACAGCAAGGAAAGGCAGGATGCGAGTTCTGGGAAGCCTCTAGAATAAACAGGATGGATTTTACTGTGTAAATTACATTCTGTTTGCAGGCAAACAAGAGCAGAAAAGCTGAACGTGAGCTGCCTCACTCTCCTAAAACAGAGCTCTGTTTTCAGCTGTTGAACGTCACCATCTCCACCCTTGAGATAGCAAGGAACCAAGAGGAGATGGTTCCTTCAGCATGCAACAGACCCAGCCATCCAAAGCTGAACAAGTGCCCACAATTAGCACTCACTTCTTTGAATGACTGCGTAGACCCTGCATATAAATCACTAATGATGCTCTAATTGCCATTTCCTGGCTTATATTTAGCTCCTACACACAGTTTCATGTTCTTCAGTGCTACGTGACTGAGCAAACACACATAGTGGACATGGATTGGGGAAGAAGAACTGCACTTCAGACAGCAGGCACTTCAGAGAGTGGCCTGAAGCCTCCTCTCTGACCAGTTATTATCAACACTTATCCCACAGAAGGAAGAGATGCATCATACTTCACAAGCAGAGAGCTCAAGGAAGGAAATGAGGAAGTGAGACGTCTTAAATTAAACAGAAATAACTTCTACACAACTCAAAATGAGACTTTTTGGAGCTTTCTTCCTTTGGCTTCCGGGATAAATGACATCACTCCAGGTTGGTTACTAGAGATAAAAAGAAAGGAGTAAAACTGGTGAAAATCAGATTGGTTTGGGTTGGAAGGGAGCTTTAAGATAATCTATTTCCAACCCCCTGCTATAGGCAGGAGGCACTTTTCTACAAGATCTTTGGAAACAAACCCAAATTCAACCCGTGGGATCCTTTCATTCAGAAGAGATCCCTACCCTCTAGAAGCTCCATGTGACAAACTGAAGTTCAGCATTGTGAAAAGCTTGAAAACTCAGATGAGGCTGGATTTATAACTGCTTGTCAGTAACTGCCCAGGGGCTGCTCTGTTCAAGACTCTGAGTTTTGGCTTGTCCTAAGATAATCCCAAGGGACACCTGTAAAAAAGAACCTAAAGAAATAAGAGATGAAGTTTAGATTGAGGTCGACTCCACCTCTACAGAAGATCAGCCTGTCATACCAGTGGGTACCTTCTATGCTGCTGTGCTATTTATTCCAGCATTGTGAAGAACCATACATGTTGAAGCCAAGGTTCCCAGAGCAAAAGGTATTTTTGTCTTAAAATGTGTATTAAACTGCATAGATTCAGCTGCTCTCTTATACTCTCCATAACATAAGTGGCACAAGGACTGTTCCACTCCCTCAATTAAACTGGCTTAACAAGGAACCACTTAGCTACCTTTCTATTGCTGTGCAATACCAGGCTGTATACCCAAGACCAAAATTAGGGCTTTTCCCACTAAGCAGCTGCCTCTTATAGAAAACAAGGCTGTTCTGAAGTTACGTGCAAAGAAGAACAGACTGTTTCCTACACTAATTCCTGTTAGAACACTTAATGATTAGCAGTATACAAGCAGATGTATTTACTTCCAACCAGAAACCACGGAGTATCTGCTCTGGAATACTCTTTGTTGGGAGCTCCAAATGACTCCGATTTTGAGCTCATCTGTTCATCATTTAGCATACCGTTTCCCCAGCCATATTTATCTTGTTCTAAGACACGTGGGAGCAGTCTTACAGCTCAGACTATGTTAATAAAGTTCAAAACACCGGTCCCTTCAGTACTTGGTATGCAGAACAGCCAGTCTGCATCGAAACCTCCAGCATTTCTGCACTTCCTTTAGTCTCAGACGGTGAGACAGCAGGTCAGCCCTGGAGTGTGCTCTCCTAGCACCATCTGCATCCATGCAACAGGGAGGAACCCAAGGCTCTCCTACACTGTGCACGTGCTATTTTCAATGACTCTCAGTTAAGTGAGGAAGGGCTTCCTCTTTTGATAGCATCGAGGAGTTTAAAAGGACATCTGCTCCGCAAATGTGAAGGCACACAAGCGAAAATAGAAGCAAGACTGTTCTCTCTCAATCAAGTTCACGGCGTTGGGAGGAAGCCAAGCATCTACAGAAGGTTTTCAGAGGTTGTCAAACGCTGGGACACGAATATAAAAAGCAAGTTTTAATAAAATGACATAGTTAATTGTTTTACAAGATCCTGGATGACTTTTCAGAGTATGAAAGAGCGCTGGCTGGGATTCAGATGACTAAGCACAGCAGTAATGAAAACAGAAAGTGTTGTTATAATGCCTGTTGCTATATAAACAACCTTGGGGGATCAGTGAAATAATGCCTGCTGCTATATAAACAGGTGTGTGTGTTTGTACCTTTTGGGGGAAATCATAAAATTGCAGATTATTTGCACTCTTAACGTGTCACTTGCCTTTGGTTGATTAAGCCTAGCTGGTTGTTCCATCTCTGAACTGCTATGCATGTTTACTGCAAAGCTAGTCTAGAGCTGCAATATTAGCGAAACACATCGTGGTGTATCAGTGATACTACAGAAGTAAACACTTAAATGTAAAAAATCCAGATGAGTTTCAAAAGACTGTCAGGCAATATCTATCACAGCTTAGAAGTGAATCCAACCAAGGCTTCCCTGCCACCAAATTTCTTGGGAAGCTCTGTAATGATAGCAAATCTCCAAGAGCTCCTCACCTCTGAATCATAGGATGGCTTGGACTGGAAGGGATCTCAAGGATCACGAAGCTTCAGCACCTACAACAGGCAGGGCCACCAACCTCCCCATTTCAGAGCAGCCCAGGCTGCCCAGGGCCCCATCCAACCTGGCCTTGAACACCT